TCCCGTAAAAAAATTTCACGTCGTGGTCATGCACGGCAAAGGAAATTACCAAGCAACGTGCTACACGTGCAAAATTTGTTGTTTTGACGTGGTTGTTCTCGTTGCTATCGCTGTCGTCCTTGCTAAAGCCACTCAGTTTTATCGATGTGTGTAAACTGTTGGGAATCCGAATGCGTTTTTTTGTATGAGGGCTCTATTAACGCTTACGAAATGATCCGAATACCCTCAACAAAATAAGTCCGGAATCCTAAATCCGAAATATTTATGAATCCTCTAGTGTAACGGTAGCGCCTACGCGAACAATCCATTGGTATCTCAGACTATGTGCAAATGTGTGATTCCTTTACCATTATTTTCCACATTACTTTTAACCGAGGAAGATCCCTGCGTTAATTTTGATGTAATCTTGCCCTTCTTCGTCTAGCGCGTATAAGAGAGGCCGAAGTGAAAACAACACGTTTACGCTTTAAACCATCCAGCTTTGCTGTTTGCACATTTCCCCGCTGTTTGTCTAAATATATACAATTAAAGATTCCGTCCACCAAGAGCCATTATGAGTCTTGGGTCCACCAGTGAATCACGTCTCTTTCCTGAAAGCCGACTTTCGGGTGTAAAAAGAAAAATCAAACAGTCCGTTGTGAAATGAATTGAGCCGAACTGTGCTTTTAAAATAATTAACTTTCATCTATCTTATCCTTTGTATCTTTTTCTTTTCAGTATTCACTTTTGTATCTCATTTTTTTTTTTTTTTCACTCTCGACTTTTAAATGGTAGCTACGCCCCTGGTTCCTATCCGTCTGAAGCGGACTAGAAGAACCTGTTTGTCGATCCGGCAAACTTTGATATTCAGACCAGCTAAACTGAGACAAACACCAAACATATCATGAACTTATTCCGTTCAGTTTCGATCGTCTCATGAAATGTTCGAAGCCTGACCCGCCTGAGCCTCAGTTTGCTTGCTTCTAAATAAACTCTCTGTTTGGCTTTTCTAAGATAATTTAATATTTAGAGACTTTAAAGTGCATGCGACACAATTGAAAGCAAACGGCACAATGCCGTGGCATGAGTATTTTGTGGCTTTATTTAAAGCAGGTACTTGAAAAAAGAATACAATAAACAAAAACGGATATAAGGCTTACTGGAAACGATAAATATAAGAAAAATATCTCGTAACAGCTATAACTTGTTTATGTTATAGAAATCGCTTGATAATCAAGGTACTTTCATCCAAGTCAGCAATGGGACCATTTGCGCGATGGCGTTATTTTACTGTACTAGTTCTTTCACCACCAGAATCCATTTCGTTTTTCCTTCGATATTTAAATTTTGTAATCACAGCGAGGTGTAAATAACAAAGAGGGTGTCAATGGGGCATAGCTGTAGTCAGTAAACAGCTAAAAATATTCTACTTGGTCTGTAAACAGCTAAAATAACACTAGTTAGGTAGTAAGCAGCAAAAAAACGTTTAGTCAGTTAATTGGCATGATTGAGAGTCCCGCAGACGTTAAAATTGTTTATAGGATGGGGTTCCCAAATCAGTCACTCCACAAAGACTCCCAAGTTCTCTCCCACTTTTCCAGGATGCAATGCACTGGTTTGTCATATTTTCTTTAACACTTTATTAAATCAGTCTGAAGTGAATTATTTCTTACAAATCCAGCCTAACCGACGCCCTAATTTGTCTTCCGTGGTTGAGCCTGGACGACAGCACCACTCTTCTCTTCATCCTCTTTCTGTGAATAAAATTCTTGAACAAAAGCACTCAATGACATCTGAATTTCTATACACAGTCATTGTTCCGCTTATCATAACTAAAACAAAATTCTCTAATCTAATTGGCTATAGGCAGCCCAGATTTCAGAATTAATAGGACGATGTAATAGGAAAGTACTTGTCATGCGTAAGTATAATTGGACAGAAAAATGCAGTATGCGCCATTGCACGCGCACTCTTGAATGTGTCCTGAAGGTAAGGCAAGGGAATCGGTAATAAAACTTCTTGTCCAATTAACAATCTGTAATTTATACTTATCAGAGGATTAAACAAATGCGATTCCCGCTTAACGCGGTTGCACGCGCTTCCGATTTTGTTTTATCGCTCATAAGATTACAGGCGGAATTAGACTTCATGTAGTATTGGCCGCATTATAAGCAGTACAAACACCTATTTGCAAGATCACGCAAGCAAAGAGGTATACTGAGAAAATAAACCATTTTACAGTTGCGCGCTTATAATAACCTCGTCTTCACGTTAAGCATAAGAACAACGTGATTGACAGAAGCAAGCAGAAAGGGTTCTATCAAAACAACGTTCCGTCTTTTTAACTGTGAAATGGTTGTCTGTTTCCCTTTGAATTCAGAGACATAACGGCACGCAGTTCGAATGCAGGCTCGACCACAGAATGACGCAGTCGCATATACGTCAGCGAACAGACTAGAGTGTAGGAAAGATTGACAAGTACGTCTCTATCATTCTGTCTCACCATATCGTCTTTTTATTTCAGAAAGTCTTCATTTGTTTGAATCAATTCCTAACTTTTGGGTCTACTTCGCTGTGTATACGCTTAAACAATTACCTGTTTTTATNTGCGCGCTTATAATAACCTCGTCTTCACGTTAAGCATAAGAACAACGTGATTGACAGAAGCAAGCAGAAAGGGTTCTATCAAAACAACGTTCCGTCTTTTTAACTGTGAAATGGTTGTCTGTTTCCCTTTGAATTCAGAGACATAACGGCACGCAGTTCGAATGCAGGCTCGACCACAGAATGACGCAGTCGCATATACGTCAGCGAACAGACTAGAGTGTAGGAAAGATTGACAAGTACGTCTCTATCATTCTGTCTCACCATATCGTCTTTTTATTTCAGAAAGTCTTCATTTGTTTGAATCAATTCCTAACTTTTGGGTCTACTTCGCTGTGTATACGCTTAAACAATTACCTGTTTTTATACGTTTGTCAGTTAATATTTTGTAATTTATACGTTTTTGATAGTGAAAAAAGGCCTTTATACGTTAAACAGTTAACCCAATTGGCACCCACAACAAAAGCTCTAATTTGCACAAGAAAGCAAAATACTGAAGCATTCTGGTAATAGTAGTAAATGACGTCGTCGTGCAAATGGCCTATTAATTATAACCTTTTATTTATGGTCCTCGCTCTTTGTCGAAAGACGTTTTTTGTAAATGAGTAAATTGACGAGTTAAAAATTGAAACTTCTACAGCTACTGAAGACTATCAATAAAAACAGACATCAGCACAAACATTTTAGCGAACGTAAATTTTCCAGAAATCACCAGTGGTCACGCCAACCTTCAGATCATCGCATTCCCATCTTTTCGCCACGCCCCCACTGTAGTCAATATGATTAAGCGCCCAATGAGCATAATGAAAAGAAAAAGCAGGGTGGTCGTGTAATCTGTCTTGATCCAATTCATAGCCCCATTTACCAACCATCATAGAACCTCTTTCCTTTCCCCAATTTTGGCAAACACCTGCTAACCTTGAGTTGTCATTCTCCATTCTAACGTATGAGCCACACGAGGCGGGCTGGACATCCGTCTGACCGCTGAAGTACTGGACTACAGCTTCACCAGCGCTGTTATCAGCAGTGGTCACGTGGAACGTACGTCCATTGTTTTTACTGCAGTGGAATCTCAGTTGGGTGAAAGACAAGAGTGTTCTCAGCTCAATCATGGCGGTTTTTGTGAGAACCATCTGATCACTGGTTATTCCACGGTATGAAGTCTTGACTGGCAGGTGATAGGGAGGAGTTGAACTTTCCATCGTGATGTTGGAAATAAGAAGCCAGCCTCCTGAAATAAAAATGTGAAAATAAAGAGGTATTTTATTAAAGTTCTACATTCTGTAAAATCAATAAGAATGGCTGTTTTAATAGCGAAGCTTGACGTGCGCGCTTCTAACTACCCGAGAAAATTTGGTAGTCACGTGACCGTCCCTCCGTCTGCACAACAAGGAAACCAATATTAAATCTCACACTTTCTAGCTAGTTTGGGAGCCTGCAACCTGATATAGCACATCCATGTATTGGTCAGTTGACAGCTGACAAAACAGGGTATCCGCTGACCAGTATCTCTTGACCGTATCGCGGGCTTATTTCTTGACTCATCGAGTGTACGTTTTTTTTTTAATTTATCCATAGAGAATTTAATAGTTTTCAAATATTCGCAGACTCAAACTCAATTTTGTTTCAATGCACAGGAAATAAGTTGTGTTTATGAGCTGAACAATTAAAATTTTGATTTCAAACTGACTTTGGACGCGAAAATTTAGTTAGTTTTTAACACGCAGGGAAGGCAGATGCTTTTAGCATTTCTCACCATAGTCATGCGTTGGCCATGCTCTACTCACAATTTTTTGTCCGATTGGTCAAAATTTGACAGATGAATTGATGTGGAAATATTTTGCAACATTTGGAAACTTGTTTACGCAGATGGCTGAGGCTGACGGAGGTTTTTGTCATCTTATGATGCTGTTAACCGTCTTTTTCTACTGGATGTACAAAATTAATTAAATGCAGCTCGCTATTAAGATTCTCCTGTTATTCGTGGATGGTTTGTTTAATGAGTTTTTGGTTAAGAAATACACCGCTTGTGAAATTCATCGGAAATCCGATTTCGGATGGCATCGCTTTTAAAAAGTAGCTTACTCTACTTCACCTTGCTTGATGCGTAAGGGGGTTGAAAAGTCTCAAGCCATTCTGGCCCTACGTGATGGCTTTCAGGATTATTTTTCAAAGCTATTACAGTTGGTTCCAGTTCGGGTATTAACTTTAAGTTGCTGCATGATTGGAGTAATTTTGATCTTCCAAAGCTTATGACAGTAGAACACATTTACTTGATGCCTTCATCATCTTTGTCTCTCACTAATACACGCCAGGATACAAGCCAATAAGTTATTCATCACGGCTCAGCCATACAACTATTTGCGGACGATGAACAAAAGGGGGTTCTTATAGAAGGCGTTCCTTACCCTCTCTCCCCAATCCCCCTCCCTTTTTCCCTTCCTCTCTATCCCCTACCCCTTTCGACGCCTGCTACTACGCAGGCTAGAGCAGATTGATCTGACTGAACAGTCCCGACATTGTGAAACGTTACTGTAAAATGTTGCACTTCGCCTCGGCGAATTGTCTCGATTTGCCGTTTTGAACTAGAACCATGCAGGTCCCGTCTGTATTGCCATTTTACTATCCCGATAAAAATTGCGCGGGATAAAATCAGTTGTTTAATTCATGCCTCGAGTTTAAAAATGGCCGTTGCGATGAGCAGCGTTACGTTGCAAAACAGCTGCTGTATGTATTAAAATTGTTTTGAGTTACTGCCTACTGTATTCACTCTTTTCGGATCCGTAATAAAGAAACGCTTCGCATCATGCATCCAAATATCCGGTTTTGGATCCACCCCCGTTGCAAATTTTTTGTATCAATAATCCGTTTTTGGTATTTTTTGTAGAGAAACGCACCCCAACTTGTTTCTTCAGCTATTCAAATAATTGCCAACAAGCAGACACGAGGCTGCGAGGCGGCAACATAATAAAGTCATCCGCGAAAGTTCCGAGGCAGAATGAAGCTATTTTCATTGATATATTTGCTCCGAAATGGGCACGCAGGCCCCATAACTTTGCACGTTTTCCCTCCTGGGACCCTTGCATTACCTCTGGGTATTGAGGGTAGTATTTAANCCCCCCCCCCCTCCCCCCTCCTCCATCGGCGACGAAAACCCGGTTATGCTGCACTTCTTCGCATACGCGGAAATTATTTTCGCTCATATCTTAGTATTCCCCGCGAGTGCCATTAGAGGTGTAGCATACCAATGAAAATTCTCCTACTACTGTCTAAACATATCACTGTGGCAATGAATGACAACGACGTGCTAAAATATTCCGATGAAGCCTTTCGAACTATTTTGCTTCAAGGACCTTCAATATTATTCGTTATTATTTTTTCTTAGTGGCATAAACAGGCAGTGTATTTTTGAACTCAATTCGATTGCATGACCGAAAATACTTTGAATGGTGAACTAAACAGGCTGATCTAAACTGTCGAAATAGCATATTGTTCTTAGATTCTCTGCATTACGTCATAAAAATTATGTAGCACTACCTTATTTTACATCGTAGGAGAATTTTCATTGGTATGCTGCACCTCTATGGCACAAGCGGGGAATACTAAGATATGGGCGAAAATAATTTCTACCCAAGCGCCAAATGCTGCCACTAAGTCAACAACATTAGAAAAATCGTCATATGCCCCTCAATCTCAGAAGCTCACCCTATAGGAACATCTCTCGGAGACGCCAGTCCCGAGTGATACGGCCAAACACGCCGCACAAAAAAACAACCTGGCGGCAGGTACAAGAGCGTAAAGGAGTTTATCTTCCCACAGACTTCTGCAGAGACTTGGAAATACTGTCTTGTAGCTAAGCATATTTTCTTGAAAAGAAGCAAGTTTAACCTTCTTATCTAGGGGCATCAAAAACGCAGTGTAAGTATAATCTATGATACACCCTTGAAAAACCGACTTTTGCGTGGGAAAAAGGGTCGACTTCCCAAAGCCAAAGAAATAGCCAAGACCGATGAGGGGGACGGGAGCGGACCGGCGCAACTGGAGGGCTCCCCTTCCAGTTACACCATGAATGATCAGATCTGACGGAATCTCGTTCGTTTTAACCGAATTTTAAACAGTGCCTAAAAGCTAAGCGAAAAAATTGGAAATAGATTACCACGAAGGCAACGCACATATACCCCATGTGATAGCTTTAAACCGAAACTGGAAAAAAGAAATAAGGGGGAAAAGGGGAGCCACCAACCAGGCCGATCCAGGCCTGTAAAACTAATAACAAATGGCTAAATAAATCTGGAACGTAGAAAATAGCCCAGGCAGCTAAGCCATAGAACCGCGGATGACTAATTCCAAATAACAGGATGAAAGCGGCCGTCTTCCCGTTTAAGAGCCCCCAAGTGTGTACATCGTGCACTGATATTTGTAAAACAAAACAGAACAGAGATGCCATGGCCATGAATTCTAAATTCGAACCGGGAAAATTGATGATAAAAGCACGTGCCGTGCGTACTGGCAATAGAAAGCTTACCACTTTAACATCGCTTTAAAATGTCAAGAGAATAAAAGACGAGAAAACAAAAAGGGCCCTAGGAAATAAAGTAGAAAAAACTAATCTTTTTACTTCCATAACATTGACGAACAAACAAAGAAATAGGGAAGAAAATGTCCGAATACTGGAACTAGTTGCGGAAAAGAAAATGTAAGCAACAACGAACGTAAGGAAAGACGCGACAAACTACAGGATGTGCGAAGGAGTATGTAGAAAATGTGAAATACAAGACCGAAATGACGCGCCGCACATGAGGACAAAAGAGGCAACACACCATGAAAAACGATCACAAAAGGAAGGAACAACATACTGAATAAATAAGAGCAGAAGATGCCAAATGCTAGACTTAAAGTGACACACACTACGAAAACTAAATTAGGAGCAGAAAATACCATAAAGAAACCAGCCTGAAAGGGATACGCGCTATAAAGGCTGAGGAAACCTAAGAGCGACACCCGCGACACAAATAAAAAAGTAATAAAATAAATGAGGGCAAAGCACGTTATAAAAACTAGTCTAAAAAAGGTCGAAAGCTAGAAATGCCGGTAACCTTAAGGTGACACACGCCATGATAACAACTTGAAGGTGGTACATGCCATGGCCATGAAAACAAGATGTAAGCGACACGCCCTATGAACACTAAATGGAGAGCAAAATATGAAATACACCATGAAACTAGAGTGAAAGCGACACACGCCAGAAATTGCTAACTGGAGGCGAAACACGCCATAAAAACAGCCTAAAGGCGACAAACGCTGTGAAAACAACCTGAAGGCGACACACGCCATGAAAACAACCTATAAGCGACACACGCTGTAAACACAAAATGGAGAGCAAAATACGAAAGCCACCATGAAACTAGTGAAAGCGACTCACGCTAGAAATGGCTAACTGAAAAGCGACACACGCCGAGAAAAATCCACGTGAAGGCGACACATGCCATAACAACTGAAAGCGACGTACGGTGTGAAACAAGTCGAAGCGACACACGCTAAGAAAATGAAATGGAAAATGATACCCGCCATGAAATCCAGTCTGAAAGCGACCCACGCTATAAAAGGTAACTCGAAGGAGGTATCGCAGCCGGGCGAACGGCTTCCAGAACATAAGGAAGGATAGCGACAGGAACTTCGGCCATGCTCAGCGACGAAAGCCGGAACGGCACAAAACACGCAAGTATATATGCCCTCTCGGGGCATGAACGCATAGAAATTAAAAGCGATCTGATCAGTGATCCTGATGTTGGCAACGCATTTGAATACTACGCTCAATACCCAGGCGTAATGCAATGGTCCGAGGAGGGAAAACGTGCTAAGTTATGGGGCCCGTGTGCCCATTTCGGAGCAAACATATCAATGAAAATAGTTGAACGGCTGTCTCCTACGCATAACGTATGAAATCCCCCGGGAAGGAGGGGGGGTTGTTTAGGATGGGGGAGGAGTCGCCGAGCCCTTCAAACTCTAACCCTGTTTAAGACAAAAAATTGTTTATTTTGCTACCCTGTTAAAGACAAGAGACCTAATTTCACACCTCTGATTCACTTCGTTTTACACAAGGAATTTAGAGGTGCTTTTTAAATTAACATCATGAAATTAGAGTTTTTTTTCTAAAATATATTGTTGGTACCTAGGCATGTAGACCGCGCATCGCCAGCCTTAGCGTCCAGTCAGAAAAGATACCATGTTCAAGACGTAAATTAGTAAAATTGAGTTACCCTGAAAACCATACCCTATTCGGTCTTGGCAGAATAAGGGAATCCTCAGTTTGCTAAAAAAAAAAAAAAAAGAGCTACTGCGCCTTCTGCTGTCCCTCTCCCAAACGTTATCTGTACAATTGACGTTAGATGTCTTTAAATTTGATAATGGGGGAACTGTTTATAAAGAATAAACCGGGAAATATAGTTCAATCAGAAACGGAAAAGTAGTTTGAATGAGCTATAAATATAATTGCTCACGATTTCAGATTTTGTTGAAGCCGATCTCACCTCCGTCAGTTGTCATGTCGCAGTAAACATTCAACGGGTTTCCACTCTTCTGAGGGTCGATCCAGTACCACCCGTCTCCTTTAGAGTCACCAGAGTCCCGGATGCTCTTACACGAATAAGCAGGCAGCTTGGGATCCCATCCTGGCTTTCCTGTAGCAGATAATAAAACAAATGACTATATACCTGGAATTTTGAAAACCGGGTTAGAAAAAATATCAACTCATTCTACTACTTGGCAATTTAAAACAGTAGGAGAATTTTCATTGATATGCTGCACCTCCATGGCACACGCCGGGAATACTAAGATATGGGCGAAAATAATTTCCGCGTATGCAAAGAAGTGCAGCATAACCGGGTTTTCGTCGCTGAGGGGAGGAGGGAAGGCAAAAAACGCAAGTATATATGCATAGAAAAAAGATCTGATCAGTGACCCTGATGTTGGCAAAGCATTTAAATACCACGCTCGATACCCAGGGGTAATGCAAGGGTCCCAGGAGGGAAAATAACTATAAGCCCATAAAACTAACAACAAATGTGACCCTCCACAGGATTTTAATGCTAAAGGTGAAAGCACGCGCACGACACGCTTTCACTTTAAAACAAAAGAATTTATTTTAACACGCTTTAGCACGCTTGCAATCTTGCCTCATTAGCAATTTCTTTTGTTTCAGAGGACACGCTTGAGACAATTAAGCGTGAGCAAGTCGAACAAACGAGCGTATAAAGTTTTCAAACAAAAGCTCCGTGCGAAAAAGCACAACACGCTTTCAGTGTGCGCAAAACCACGCAAGGCGTGTTATCCATAAGCTATATAAATTTTCCCTACAAAAAGGAACCGTAAATAATTATGAAGGGCACCCTTTTTTGGTAACTATCGAGAAAGAAAAAGTTCTACCTTAGCGATCGCAGCGATAGTAACTGATTGAAAAAACGTTGTCGCTTGAAAAGTATAAACAGTGAACGGTGGGACCTGCTGGATTTATGAGTAGAAATTACAAGGGCTTCAGCATTATTTTCCCGAAAAATTTAGCTTCCAATTGAAAGTTTTAGGAAAGTGAGAATTTCATCGTATTTTTGGTTCCGAAAATTTTAGGATTCCTTTCTCTACGAAAAATAGCTAGGGATAGATAAGCTTCGAAAATTGTATATACATGGAACGGTCATCTAGAAATGTTTAGCCTTCCTCAACCTATAGAAAATTCTAGGCAGTTTTTGTTTCTCCGATTTAATTACCTTCGTTCGTCTCAGCATGGCTTAAAGAAATAAATTAAACTAATTTATTCAACTTCATTTCTCTGTGCATTACTGCTAATAAATATTCCGGTACGTGACATAACTATAATTTTCAGGCGACATAACTTTAGTGCCTCGCATGCGATAGCAGGCCTCTTTGCGATTCCGGTCAACAGCTGACAGCCGGAGAAATTGGTTTACACTGATCTCGCATTAATTCCAGGCTAGACGACCATTAATGGTGATTTTCAAATGGCTATGGTTACGATCTTACGATCTTACATGTCTTACCCCAGCTGCACGCTAAGCGTGCTATAATTAGCACACTTACCGTGACATATGGCACGCTACAAAAAAACAAAAGGTCTAGCGTGTTAAATTTATCAAAACAAAAGCAAGTGTGTCCGTCTTTGTTTTTTCAATTTAATATGCGCATATCCGTGATCTACGGCACGCTAAGCGTGTCGTGCAAGCGTGTCGTGAGCGTGCTTTCACCTTTAGCATCAAATTCCTGTGGAAGGTCACAAATGGCAAACGCCGAATAAATCTGGAACGTAGAAAACAGCACAGGCAGCTAAGCCATAGAACCGCGGATGACTCATTCCAAATAACAGGATGAAAGCGGCCGTGATCTTCCGCCCCCAAGTGTGTACATCGCGCACCGACATTTGTAAACAAAACAGAACAGAGATGCCATTATCATGAATTTTAAATTCGAACCAGAGAAATCGATGATAAAAGCACGTGCCGTGCGTGCTGGCAATGGAAGCTTAACACTTTAAAAATGCCAAGAGAATAAAAGACGAGAAAACAAAAGGGCCCGAGGAAATAAAATAGGAAAAAACTAATGTTTTAACTTCTATAACATTGACGAACAAACAAAGAAATAGAGAAGAAAATGTCCGAATACTGGAACTAGTTGCGGAAAAGAAAACGTAAGCAACAACGAACGTGAATAAAAACGCGACAAACTACAGGATGTGCGAAAGAGCACGCATACAGAAAAAACACGGACCGCAAAGTATAGAAAATGTGAAATACAAGACCAAAATGACGCGCTGCACATGAGGACAAAAGAAGCAACACACCATGAAAAACGATGCCAAAAGGGAGGAGCGACATACTGAATAAATAAGAGCAGAAGATGCCAAATACTAGACTTAAAGTGACACACACTACGAAAACTAAATCAGGAGCAGAAAATACCATAAAGAAACCAGCCTGAAAGGGGTACGCGCTATAAAGGCTGAGGAAACCTAAGAGCGATCAGCCCGCGACGAAAATAAAAAATGAGGGCAAAGCACGTTATAAAAACTAGTCTGAAAACGTCTAAAGCTAGAAATGCCGCTCAGTTAAGGCGACACACGCCACGAAAACAACTTGACGGTGGTACATGCTATGGAGACAAGTTGTTAGCGACACGCGCTATGAACACTAAATGGAGAGCAAGATATGAAAGACACCAAGAAACTAGAGAGAAAGCGACACACGCCAGAAACGGCTAACTGGAAGACGACACACGCCGTAGAAACAACCTAAAGGCGACAAACGCCGTGAAAACAACCTGAAGGCGACACACGCCATGAAAACAACCTGAAGGCGACACACGAAAACAACCTAAAGGTGACACACGTCGTGAAAACAACCTGAAGGCGACACATGCCGTAAAAACAACCTGAAGGCGACACACGCCATGAAAACAACTTATAAGCGACACACGCTATGAACACAAAATGGAGAGCAAAATACGAAAGACACCATGAAATTAGTGAAAGCGACTCACGCCAGAAATGGCTAACTGAAAAGCGACACACGCCGAGAAAAACCAACGTGAAGGCGACACATGCCATAACAACTAAAAACGACGTACGCTATGAAGCAACTCGAAGCGACACACGCTATGAATGATACCCGCCATGAAATCCAGTCTGAAAGCGACTCATGCTATAAAAGGTATCGCACCCGGGCGAACGGCTTCCAGAACATAAGGAAGGATAGCGACATGAGCCTAGGCCATGTTCAGCGACGAATCGAGTCGAAAACCGGAACAGCACACAAAAAACGCAAGTATATATGCACTCTCGGGGCATGAACGCATAGAAAAGCGATCTGATCAGTGATCCTGATGTTGGCAAAGCAATTAAATACCACGCTCCATACCCAGGGGTAATGCAAGGGTCCCAGGAGGGAAAACGTGCTAAACTATGGGGCCCGCGTGCCCATTTCGGAGCAAACATATCAATGAAAATAATAAAACTCATTCAAAGGCCGATTAAAAGCCTTTATCTGACGCCGGGCAGGAAGTTAATGGTCTCAGAAACATTTCAACAACTCCAAATTTAAAATGACGCAAATTTTAGAACATTTATTCAGTAAACTGACTTCGCGAAGTTCCAAACCAGTGTCATTTCAGTCTAGAAATTTTTAAGTTGAGTGAACTGCAGCGAAAGAGTGCATGGTTAAGGCTTACATAACAACTTAGATCGTTAGCAAAACACTGCTTTTTACGCAGTTCAATAAACAATAGGATTCCGCATGGAATAGACAACAAACTGAATGAAACGTAGTGTACAAATTATCACTTTCTTATCTGTAAAAATCGGTCTATGGTTCAATGTCATTAGAGACCGCCGAAACTAGACCTAGATCCAACTTTCCTGAGTCAAGANAGAGAGAAAGCGACACACGCCAGAAACGGCTAACTGGAAGACGACACACGCCGTAGAAACAACCTAAAGGCGACAAACGCCGTGAAAACAACCTGAAGGCGACACACGCCATGAAAACAACCTGAAGGCGACACACGAAAACAACCTAAAGGTGACACACGTCGTGAAAACAACCTGAAGGCGACACATGCCGTAAAAACAACCTGAAGGCGACACACGCCATGAAAACAACTTATAAGCGACACACGCTATGAACACAAAATGGAGAGCAAAATACGAAAGACACCATGAAATTAGTGAAAGCGACTCACGCCAGAAATGGCTAACTGAAAAGCGACACACGCCGAGAAAAACCAACGTGAAGGCGACACATGCCATAACAACTAAAAACGACGTACGCTATGAAGCAACTCGAAGCGACACACGCTATGAATGATACCCGCCATGAAATCCAGTCTGAAAGCGACTCATGCTATAAAAGGTATCGCACCCGGGCGAACGGCTTCCAGAACATAAGGAAGGATAGCGACATGAGCCTAGGCCATGTTCAGCGACGAATCGAGTCGAAAACCGGAACAGCACACAAAAAACGCAAGTATATATGCACTCTCGGGGCATGAACGCATAGAAAAGCGATCTGATCAGTGATCCTGATGTTGGCAAAGCAATTAAATACCACGCTCCATACCCAGGGGTAATGCAAGGGTCCCAGGAGGGAAAACGTGCTAAACTATGGGGCCCGCGTGCCCATTTCGGAGCAAACATATCAATGAAAATAATAAAACTCATTCAAAGGCCGATTAAAAGCCTTTATCTGACGCCGGGCAGGAAGTTAATGGTCTCAGAAACATTTCAACAACTCCAAATTTAAAATGACGCAAATTTTAGAACATTTATTCAGTAAACTGACTTCGCGAAGTTCCAAACCAGTGTCATTTCAGTCTAGAAATTTTTAAGTTGAGTGAACTGCAGCGAAAGAGTGCATGGTTAAGGCTTACATAACAACTTAGATCGTTAGCAAAACACTGCTTTTTTCGCAGTTCAATAAACAATAGGATTCCGCATGGAATAGACAACAAACTGAATGAAACGTAGTGTACAAATTATCACTTTCTTATCTGTAAAAATCGGTCTATGGTTCAATGTCATTAGAGACCGCCGAAACTAGACCTAGATCCAACTTTCCTGAGTCAAGAGTCGCTTTTCCAAACAATATTAATGGCTGGCACAGAATATTTTCCCCAAACCGCAGTTCAACCACGCGATCACACAC